TCTTTCTCTCTTCCTCTCCTCTCTGATTTTTTGCTATAGAGTATGTGTGCCCATCTGGGAAGGGAGGGTCAGAGGAAAAAGAAAGCACCTTCCAGGAGGGATAGCCATGCTACAATTCCTTCTCCTTTATTCTCCTCTTGGGATTTTGGACACACACATACACGTGCCTGGTGTGTTTTTCAAACCACTGGGTTCAGGCCTCAAACTGTACAGTTAAGTCATGTGGGATCCAGCTGCCTCAACTACCCCACCACTGGTTGGCCCCACTCATCTTTTATAAGTGCATGTTTGAAGGACCAGCAGATGGCAAAAGAGTTATGTGCCAGACTCCCACGTAATTGACTGCAGTTCCGAGTTCTAGACCTGGTGGCTTAAAACTCACACTGGGCACGTGTGTTTGTGTACCCAAATCTTGAGAGAAGAGAATGAAAGAGAAGGGATTGCAGCGTGGCCATTCCCCCTAGGGGGTGATTTCTCGCTGTCTGTCTGTCTCTGTCTCTCCAAGGAGCACATGTGCTCTATAGCAAAAAAATCTCTTAAAAAAATGCATTTTTGCAGGCTTCATAAAATTTGTATGAGTTGTATGAGCTATGCGCCCCTCCCCCCCAAAAAAAACCCCACACAAACCCAACCCAGAAGACTTTCAAATGCTGCCTAGTCCTACACAATGAAATGGCATTATTTTAGACTGGATCTTCAGACTCTGTATGGCCTCTGCCTTGCTAGTGTTTCTAAACAGCTATATAGGCAAGTATGTGTTCCATTTTCTATACTACATTCTCAATTTTACATCATTAGGCTTCTTAGTCTTTAAAAGAGATAAAAACTGAACAAAAAGCTCAGTTTTCAATGGACTGGGAGGATAAGAATGACTGCATTTCAAGTGGGCTAATATCCTAAAATAACAACAAAACTGGGGGTTAAGAGATGGCATAGTGGTTAAGGGGCTGGACTCCCATGTTGCTGATCGTGATTTGAGCCTTGGATATGGTGGCTTGAAATTCATACTGGGTACATGTGCATATGTGCCCAAAATCCCAAGAGGAAAAGGGATTGCAGTGTGGCTATCTTCTCTGGGGGTGATTTCTCATGTTCTATCTTTCTCTGTCTCTCCGGTGAGTGCATGAGCTCTATAGTGAAAAAATCTCTAGCGACCAGCAGGTGGCACAGTAGTTAAGGCTCTGGACTACCACATGGGTGATTGCAGTCCAAGTCCTGGACTGGTGGCTTGAAACTCATGCTGGGCGTGTGTGCACCCAAAATCCCAAGAGGAGAATGGAGAAGGGCTTGCGGCATGGCCATCCCCTCTGGGGAGTGATTCTTGCTTTCTGTCTCTCTGACAAGCACATGTGCCCTATAGCAAAAATCTCTCACGGGACCAGCAGCTGGCATAATGGCTATGTCGCTAGACTACCATGTAGTCAACTGCGGTTCGAGACCCAGACCTGGTGGCTTAAACTCACACTGGGCACGTGTGCGTGCGTGCCCAAGATCCCGAGAGTAGTGGAGGAGAAGGGATTGTGGCATGGCCATCCTCCCTGTGGGGGTGATTTCTCGCTTTCTGTCTCTCTGTCTTTCTGGCGAGTGCACACACCCTATAGCAAAAACCTCTCCAAAAAACAAAGACATAGTCCAGAACTACGAAAGTCACAGATTACCTAGGAATATCCTCAAACTCCAAAGCATATACAAATATACACCAGAAGAGATTTGCAAACTCTCTACAAACAAGATGTAGAGGATAACTCAGGGGTCAAGATAAGCTCCAGCACCTAAAACTTAAAGATCTATGATAATATTTTGGTGGTAATGTTTGAATGCAGATGGAAATCAAAGATTCTTTCAGTGGGCCAATCAGTGGTCAGGCTTTAAGATGGGCCCTATTCTGAGCAAGGGTGGATGAAGAAGTTGCTGCTTTATCACTGTCTCTGGATAGAATACACCATTTAGAATTAAGGATGCCAATTCAGAGAATACAATTGTTTTCTAACTAAAAGGTTGTTGTATATAGAGCCTGCAAAATTAAGTTCTTCAAGATAAATGAAGCCTATGCACCACAGCCCCAACATGAAACCTCGTAAGCCACGACTTGGTAATTGCAAATTAAATTAAGAGTCCTTAGGAAGAGAACGTGAGAAATTGACATTTTGGGGGTTTCTTTTTTTTTTTTTTTAAAGAGATTTTTGCTATGGGGCACATGTACTCACTGGAGAAACAAAGACAGAGAGACAAAGTGATAAATCACTCCCCGGGGGGATGGCCATGCCACAATCCCTTCTCCATTCTCCTATCAGGATTTTGGGCAAGCATGCACATGCACCCTGCATAAGTTTCAAGCTGTCAGGTCTGGGACTCAAACCATGGTCGACTATATGGGAATCCAGTGATGTAACCATTATGCCATCTGCTGGTCCCAATATTTTTGGGGTTTCTTATTGGGATGACTAAGTAAAACAACAAAGCAGAAAACCTGCTCAGAGCTAATTTTCCTTATCTGGTTGTAGGCGTGGTACCGAATGACTTGTTTTCTGGGAATTGTCATGGGATTTTTAGAGTTACCCCCAAGAAATCATCCTCATAGTGGGAAAAATAGTATCATTTTGCAGGTGGAAGAAATGAGACAAACTGAGCTAAAGACTCAGGTTAAGATATTCATTCCCCAAGTGCTGTGGATCTTGGTGACAATTTGTCAAAAGGCTAGTAAAATGAACGTAGCCCCAGGGAGTATAATCGATGCTCTGCAGTTAACATCTGCCTGGTCAATCTTACCCTAGTCAGCGCCACAGGAAATATACCATGGCCTGCATTATGGGGAAGGGGTGGTGGTTTCAGACCCACAAGGAATACTAGGAACTGTGCCAGCTCCCAGAAAAGAAATGCTGCTATTGCTACAGAAGGGATGGAACTGGACCAAGACCTACTCTCCTGCCTACCTTCCAGTCTACTCTCTGAGACTGAACTACACCAAAGGTGTTTCTGCACTCCATCACACTACGGCCTCCTTTTTCGGAGGATATATGGGCACCTCTCAATATTCAACCTATTGCAAAATCTAGAAAGCAATGTCTAGAATCTAGTTTAACTGCTGATTAAAAAAATATTATTTAATTTTATTTATTAATATTATTTTAAAAAATTGTTATGGGGCATGCATGCCCACCAGAGAGACAGAGAGTGGGAAAGTGAGAAAGCAAGCCACCAACTCTGGAACTCGAACCATGGTTGGCCATGTGGGAGTCCAGTGCCTAAACAATTCTACCTGCCGGTCCCTAGTGCTGATTCTTTTAAAATTTGCTATAGGGCACATGTGTTTGTCTAAGAGATATGGTATGTGTGTGTATGTGAGAAGGGGGTAGTAAGGAACAACCCCCCCAGGGAGGATAGCCACACCACATTCTCCTTCATCTCATCAGATTTTGGACACATATGCACATGCACCTAGCATGTTTTTCAAGCCACTGGGTGAAGTACTTAAATTAGGCAATCAGCCATATAGGATCTGGCTTCCTTAACCAGCAAGCCACCTGGCTGGCCCTAACTGCTGATTGCTTAGATTTTAGTGTTGAGCACTCTAGACACTTTTGTGGAATAAATGGTTTATGAACAGAGAAGGGAGACAGATAAAAAATTTAAACTTTTAACTCCCCATTTATCTCTCTCTTATAGAAAAACACAGATACAATTCCTAGCTTTAAATCTGTTTTAAGTTAATGGCAGATAGTGCCAAACAACAAAATAGAAGACAGTAGTCAAAAATAGCCAGACTGCTCGTTTGTTTGTGAATAGGGTGTCATTAGGCAAAATCCTGCAGGATTTTCTAAGTGATTACAATCCAGCTATTGCTCATGAACCACAGGGATTCAGAGGTCTCTTTCCCCCCTTCCAGTTACTCATTTATCTACCCCAAAGATATCAGTTTCTTCTCCTCACTCACCATTACCAATCACACAGGCAGAACACAATAACATCTTTATAGTTGATTTAATATGAGACAGAAGAGTTGGAAGCCTGAGAGACTTCTAAGTCTACAACCACAAAGATGAGAAGAGACATAGAAGTCATCTGAGTCGTTCACTGTCTCCCCAGGAATCACAAATAGAGCATCCTGGTCAGTTTTCAATATCTCCACAGAAACAGTCAACAAGTGTTCTCTCATATTTGCATACTACAAATTATCTTTGCTAGACTTCTCTTGGGAGGGTTGAGACTGCTAAATTGGAGAGATGTAACAGATACAACCTAGAAATGCAGTCGTGCCCCCCACCCCGGCCAATATGGAGCTGGTCAGAATGAAAAGAGGAAAGCAGAGCTGAGAGATGCAGAGACTAAATCTACATAACAAGGCCAGAGTCCCCGGTTCCAGTCAATCTTACACTTTTCACTATATGAGTTCATAGTTTTTACCCCAAAGCTCCTGCTTTTTTAAAAAAAATCATCTCTTTCAATAAATTTTTCCAAAAGCAAAAATATTCTTCCACTGAAGTTAACTATCCTCCACATAATTTCTAAAGCTATTAATTTTTTTTTTTTTCCAAATCAGCTTTCCCCTAACTAAAATACTCTGATTTGCAAACTTTTTTTTTTTTTTAAACTTTATTTATTTAGGGACCAGCAACTGGTGTAACGGCTATGTCACTGGACTCCCATGTAGTTGACCAGGTTCAAGTCCCAGACCTGATGGCTTAAACTCATGCTGGGTGCATGTGCATGCGTGCCCAAGATCCCGAGAGGAGAATGGAAGAGAAAGGGATTGGGTCTTGCTTTCTGTCTCTGTCTCTCTCTGTCTTTCTGGCAAGCACACGTGCCCTACAGCAAAAACAAAAACAAAACTCTAAAAAAAAATAAAAAAATAAAAAGTTTATTTATTTAATTCTTCTTCTAAGGAAGGAAGGTTTGCACACAGGGAGGGAAAAGAGGTACCCCCAACAGGGTCTTCACACCTTACCAATGTTCAAAAATAGTTTTAAGAGATAGTCTTTTTTATTTTTTAATTCAAATGATAAACAGTTTACTATAGCTAAAGTAATTAATTAGGGAAAGGATTATCCTTTGAAAAATGATCATGGAATAACTGGAGAATAATATACAAAGAATAAAGTGAATCTCAGTTCTTACCTATTATCATATACCAAATACAACTTGAAATGTATCACAGACTAAAACATAAGAGAAAATAACAAAAGAAAGTCTCCATGACCTTGAATTAGGCAAAGATTACTTAGGACAACAGAAAGTGTAAACCTGAGAAAATTTGATAAATTGTACTACATCTAAACTAAAATCTTTTGGGTGAATTATACTGCATACAAATTACCTTTTCTAAGGTGTGTGTGCTCACCAGAGAGAGACGGAAAGTGAGAAATCACCCCCTGGGGGGATGGTCACACTGCAATCCCATCTCCTCCACTCTCCTCTCGGGATTTTAAGCACATGTCCTCGGCATGCAGGGTCCGGGACGGAACCGTGATCAGCCAATGTGGAAAACCAGCACCTTAACCACCATGCCACCTGCTGGCCCCAATTTTCACAATTTTTTTAACTTGTAAGTTTGGTGGGGTTAAAACATAATAATCATAATAACAATGGCTATTATTTATTGAATGCTTTGTATGGGACAGGCACTATGAGTGCTCTACATAGTATCTCACTGAATATTCAGCAAGTCACCCAAATAGTTGTTTTCATTATCTGCATAAGCGGATGAAACTGAGGATCACAAAGTTATAAGGCGTATTAGTGGAAAAGGTGGGATTCGAACTCTGGCATCTGACTGCAGACACCACGCTCTCGGCTATTACGCTTTGTTGTTGCTCAGATACCAGTCTAAGGCAGCGATGTAACAAGTAAAGCCAGCTAAATCTCAAGGGAGAGACTGCTACACACGAGGAAATTGGCTCCCCTGAACTTCCTGTTACGTAAGTCACGCCATATTCTGCTCCCAGACCCTACCCTGCCACTTTTATTTTAAGAGAGAGAAATCCTCACTATAAATAACCTCCCATAAAAGATCATCTGCCAGCCAAGAATGGCACTCCTTCCCACCTTTCTCAGTGGTGCCGGTCCCGCTCCCTATCCCGGTGTCTCTCGTGCTCCCGGTTCCTTTCTTGGAAATAATCATCATGCCGATCTTCATTGTGGAGCAGATCCCGGTGCCTCCTGCTGCTCTCCCTGGACCGGCTAGGTGACCTCTCCCGCGACCGATGTCTTTTCCTATAAAAAGATCCTTCAGGCTCACACACAGGGCCTCCCGCATTCTTTCCGAGAGCATGGTCTTTTAGTGTTTTCCAGTATTTATCTCAACTACTCTTCTACCACTCTATCACAGGCTCACTGTCTAGGGATGTTACTGGTGCTGAGGACTGATCTTTTTTTTGGAAAATGACAGTTACATCAACCAAGATCTTACTACTGTAGTACATTAGTACTACATGCTTGGCACAATGCTAAGAACTACACATGCATTGTCAAACCTAATCTTTACAACAAGTCTGTAAATACTTATTATCCCTTTCTTTAAATGAGAAAAAACAAAGCTTGAAAAGCTGACTAATATCCATATTCAAAGTGGTCATACTGATAGCACAGAACTAAGATTCAAATCCAAGCCTGTATGGCTCCAAATTCCATGTTTTTAACTATATCAGTCTTTCTTCCCCCCTAAATGAGCCCACTACCTCACTAATTCCAGTCATTTCAACACTTACTAATGGAAGTGCTAGACTTATTTCTTCCCCTTAAAGAAACGAGGGCTAGGTCCACTCTTTCTGCCAGGTCCTTGCCAGATACCCTGGGCTCCATTCCTCTTATCACCAACCCCTGGGTGGCAGGCTGCTGAAGCGATCATCCACTCACCTGGAAGAGCTCCCGCTGGCACCCACACTGTAGGACTTGGCTTCAATGCCATGAAGACAGTCCTTAAGAGAGGAGATGAGGACACGGCAACGCTCGTCATTGGCGACTCGGGACTGTTTGATAACTGCGATGGCTGTGAGTAGCGTCTCAATTGCGTCACTGTAATCCCCTGATAAAGAATGGATTAGAAAGGCCACAGATGAGCAGCAGCAATAAACTAATTGGACCAAAGGATCCCAGGAAGACACAAACCAAGAGTAACTAGCTGTCCCAAAGAACCACGGTGAAGAGGATGAGACAACTGCCGCAGGCCTAAAAGTGGAGGGCATCAATATTCCGGTTGTTTAGAACCTGACATATGTTGTCAGATATTGCTAGGGGCTGTATAAACTGGTACATCATGTCTAAGAGCTACCTTCAACATCTATTAAACTAAATAATGCTCATATTTTTCAATCCAGCAACTACTGAAAATGTTCTGTTTCTGTTTGCAAATACATATGCTACATAATGTTTGTGTCGGCATTGTCATATTACTTCCAACAGGGCGTGGCTATATAAATAAAGGAATGCTAGTTCTATAGAATGTTATTTAGTTGTTAAAAAGCATGAGGCAGGGGCCAGAAGGTAGCATAGTGATTAAGGCGCTGGACTCCCACATGACCCATCACAGTTTGAGTCCCAGGCTTGGAGGCTTGCTTTCTGAACTTTCCCTTTCTCTCTCTCTCTGGTCAAATTAAAAAATAATAGTAATAGGGGCCAGCAGATGGCACAGTGATTACGTTGCTGGACTCTCACATGGTCAACTATGGTTCAAGTCACAAACATCATGGCTTAAAACACACACTGGGCACATGTACGTTGTGTGCCCACAATCCTGAGAGGAGAATGGAGAAGGTATTGCAGTGTAGTCATCCCCGGCCTCCAGGGGGTGATTTCTCGTTTTCTAGCTCTCTCTCTCTCTGGTAAGTGCACATGCCCTATAGCAAAAGTCTCGGGGGGAGGGGGAAGCATGAAGTAAGCTGAATGTAAACAGAGAAATCCATGTGAAATGCTTAGCACAGTGCCAAGGACACAACGAGAGCTCAATAAATATTAAGTATCAGGACCAGCAGATGGCGTAATGGCTATGTTGCTGGACTCCCATGTAGACAACCGCAGTTCAAGTTCTGGACCTGGTGGCTTTAACTTACACAGGGTGCGTGTGCACGCATGTCCAAGATCCCAAGAGAAGAATAGAGAAGGGATTGTGGCATGGCCATCCCCCCTGGGGAGTGATTTCTCGCTTTCTGTCTCTCTCTCTGTCTCTCTCTCTGTCTTTCTGTCCAGCGCACGAACCCTATAGCAAAAACCTAAAAAAAAAAAAAAAAAAAAAAAAAATTAAGTATCATATGTTGATAAAATAGGTGTCCAGAATATAGTATTTAAAAAAAAAAAAAAAAGTTGCAAAACATATTCCATTAGGGGAACCAGCAGTTAGAGTAATGGCTATGTTGCTGGACTCCCCCGTAGGTGCCCGCCGTTGGACCCGGTGGCTTAAAACTCACGCCGGGTGCCTGTGCGTGTATGCCCAAGATCCTGAGAGGAGAATGGAGGAGAAGGGATTGCGGTGTGACCATCACCCCCTGGGGGGTGATTTCTCGCTTTCTGTCTCTCTGTCTCTGTCTGTCTGTCTGGTGAGTGCACGCGCCGCGCCCTATAGCGAAAACCTCTCAAAAGAAAAAACAAAACATATTCCATTCAGTAAACAATAAAAGTTATTTAAGTGTTGTAATATGCACTGAAAAAAACCTGGAGAAAAATACATTAAACTATAAAAAAATGGTCTTATTGGTGGTCCTTGTATAGAGGACTTTAATTTTTTAACATTGCATATTCCTATGAATTACTTTTTTAATTTTTAATTGACAGAGAACAGGAGTGAGCAAGTGAATGAGGACGACGGAGCAACCTTCAATGGGGTGTGGTCACACCATAATCCCTTATCCATATCCTCACCCTGTTGGGACCTGATTTTGTCACAGGGCGCATGTGTTCCCTAGAGAGGAAGAGAGGGAAAGTCAGAAATTACCCTTCAGGGGAATGGCCACATTTTAATCCCTACTCTTTTCAGGATTTTGAGCACACACATATGCATACCCCATGTTTTGTTTTGTTTTCTTTTTTTTTTAAAGGACAGTTTATTAAACAAAAGTTAAAGTATACTCCCAAAGTAGGAGCAGCCACAACACAAGAGAAAAGAGTGGCTTAAGGCCATACCCTGTTGTTTTCCAAGCTACTGGGTCTAGGACTTGAACCACAGAATCAGCCATGTGGGATCCATGCCACATGCTGGTCCATCACTGAGGCCAGAGCATGAACTCTGGTTAGTCATGTGGGATCCAGCTCTCTTAACCGCTTAATCTACAATCAGATGTGCATGTAAATATATGTAATTATGGATATGTAGTATATGTATACATAAAAAAAAAAGTGCTGCAATGAAGAACTAGACCTTTCTTTCTTTTTTTATTTTTAAGAGAGGTTTTTGCTATAGGGCACGTGCACTCACCAGAAAGACAGAGAGAGAGAGAGAGACAGAAATTGAGAAATCACCCCCTGGGGAAATGGCCACGCCGCAATCCCTTCTCCTCCATTCTCCTCTCAGGATCTTGGGCACACATGCCCAGCATGAGTTTAAGCCACCGGGTCTGGGACTCAAACTGTGGTCAGCTACATGGGAATTCAGTGACAGAGCCATTACGCTAACTGCTGGTCCCTTGCCCTTTCATTTTCTAAAATTTGAGCAATGACTGGCTCAGGGACAGTGGTTACAGGGTTAGGCAATGCTTCCTAAGCTAAATCAAGAGCAGTAAGGACAGTCATTGGGAAAGCCATGGTGTATTTTTCTATGCAAAAATGTGTCATGACTTTTTCAATGAGTCAATAATATAAGGAAAGCATTAAATCAGACAAGGGCCCAGTGAAAATAAGGACCAGCAGCTTCCTCAGTGCAAGATAACAAGGAAGAAAATAGACAATATGGAGGCCCAGGACATTAGGACATCAGCTCCACCCACACAGGGAATTTCTGCCCGTTTTGTAAGCACATTCAATAACTATTTGTGGTTCAAAGGACTGGAATGAGAACCACAAATAGGGAGATAACGATTAGTTATTGGGGCCAGCTGGTGGCATGGTAGTTGAGGTGGCTGGACGCCACATGGCTGACTCCATTGTTAAAATCTCAGACCCGGTGCCTTGCGGAACATGCTGGGCACATGTACGTGTGTACCCAGAATACTGAGAAGAGAATAGTGGAGATAGGACTTCCCCACTGGTGGGGAGGGGAGGTGATTTCTCACTTTTCTTCCTTCTCTCTCTCTCCTGTGACTGTAAATGCCAAAAAACTTAAACCAAAAATAAATAAATAAATAAAGGAATTGTGAGGGAAGAAAGAACAGCGATTACTTTTCTCATATTCTTTTATGTAATTGACATATTAACAATGAGTATTCAAAGGTACTTCAAAATGCTCACAAAAAAGTTGAATTAAAGTAAGTTTATTTTTACGCAAAAAGTTGTGAAATTCTTATCTTTTTCATAATATACACTGCCCATGAACTTTTTGAAGGTGCTTCCCTTCATATATTATTTCATTTACTTATTTATTTTTGGAAGAGGTTTTCGCTATAGGGCATGTGCGCTCACCAGAAAGACAGAGAGAAACAGAGAGACAGAAAGTGAGAAATCACCCCCCCAGGGAGGATGGCCACGCCGCAACCCCTTCTCCTACATTTTCCTCTCAAGATCTTGGGGGCACACACACACGCGCGCCCAGCGTGAGTTTAAGCCACTGGGTCTGGGACTCGAACCGGCAGCGACACAGCCATTATGCTAACTGCTGGTCCCCATATATTATTATTATTTTGAAATTTGCTAGCATGTGCACTCACAGAAAGAGATGGGGTGGTGGTGGTGAGAAACCAAGTTGCCACATCCAGAACTCAACTACAACTGGCCATGTAAGAGTCTAATTCCTTAATCACCATGCCACCTGCTGGCTCCCATATATTATTTTTTAATTTAAAGATTTATGCCTGGTCAGCTTTATGGAATAATGGTTGAGGCCTGTGTGTAGGAAACTGGATCCTACATGGTTAACTATAGTTCAAATCCTGGCCCCAGTAACTTGAAAAATACACCAGGAGCATATATATATGTATATATATGTATATACATACATATGCATACACCCCCCCCCAAATCCTGATGCGATGAAGAGATGGAGGAAAGAGATTGCAGTGTGAACACACCCTACCACAGTGCTTTTCTACCCAGCCCCCACCTTCCGGCAAGCACATGCGCCCTCTGGCAATTAAAAAAAAAAAAGTAAAGATTCATTCTAATGTCAGTGCAAGTTTTCCAGTGGGGGTAAAAAAACCTGAAAATAACAAAATACACTTTCTATCTTTAACTACTTTGTGGATTCAAGTTCTATGCCAAAGAAAACAAACTATGAAACACAGATGATGATCTGAGCTAAAGTATCTTTGGTGATCTGATAGTCTATAGACATTTATATTCACGTGGAAAACTCACAGGAAGCAAGCCAATATGATTAATATCATTATGTGAAACATGAACAGAACCTTATAAACTGCTATATTCTCTTATCTTAGGAATCAAAGATTTTTTTCTTTTTTATATTTGCCAGAAGGTGAATATACTTGCCGAGAGACAGAAAGACAAAGCACTTCTCATGGGGAACAGTTACACTGCAATCCTTTTCCATCTTTCCTTCTTTCAGGATTTTGGGCATAATACGTCAAGCATGTTTTTCAAGCTGCTGGTTCCATAACTCGAGTCTCAGTGTCAGCCATGTAAGATCCAGCTACCTAAATCGCCAGGTCACTAGCTAGATTTCAGAATCTGGGCTTCATAATCATGGCTGCTAGTTTTGCCCACTTAACAGTGAGAACAAGGCAAAAAATAGCTTGTAAGAGCATAATATGTCTTGACTCCTACCAGATTTGCCTCTTTCTACAGCAGGACAGACTGCATGGAGAACACAAGCTCTACCTAGACTCCCAAATGTAATCAGATTCCCCAACAAACCATCATCTAGTTGAGGCATTCCAATACTTAGGGCACCGGCACTAGATCCACTACACAGTACATCTAAAGATCTACCAATGAGATCAAGATTTCTACAAGGCATGACTTCTACTCTATAAAATACCACAATGAGATGGTGTATTATTTATATTCTTGGCACTAAGTTGTTTTTCATGGGGATAGGTCTAGACACAGGCTTAATAATTATCACTGGAGCTTCCCAAAAACTAAAAAATCAGGTCACAAACTATTCTTCAAAGTGTTCTACCCTTTTTTTTTTTAAAAGTTAATTTTGTTTATTAGTATTATTTTAATTTGGTATAGGGCACGTGTGCTCACTAGATAAAAAAAAGAGAGTGATAAATTGAGCTGCTAGGTCTAGGACTCGAACCACCGTTGGCCATGTGGGAGTCCAGCGCCTTAACCAGTACACCACCTGATGGCCCCCAAAGTGTGTTCTCTTCATAGCCAATAGTGCTCTAACTTTATCTTGAACCCTTGCCAATGGTTAATACCAAAACAAAGGCAAAATTAAAGGTAAGCAGAAGATAGCAAAGGTAAGGGTGAAATTACCTGCACTAGCTCCAGATACAGCTTTGGAAATGGCACTGCTGGAAATAGCTCTGTTTCGCTTCATGATCTCTTCAAATTCAGCCTCACTTGCTGTAGAGGGCGGAGGGCCCGAATCTCGGCTGTGCAAAGATAAAACCATTCCTGACTGCTGACACCCCTTATTATACTACTCTGTAGTACTAAGTATTTAATTATAGTTTACTATATATTGTAAATGTTCTCAGCATGTTCATGTGTTCTATGTGTTCATCCTCTCTTCAAAGACAGGATTTATGTCATATACACACTTTCTTAATTTTGGCATGACCCAATAGGGCTAGGCGTTTTATAGCATTTGTAGCAACCACTTAGGACAATTTAAGCCCCTTAAAAGGATGTATAAAGGACATGGTTTAGATCAGGTGGTTAAGATGCAAATGAAACACCAAATAAATACTATCAGATAGTAAACTATTTCCAAGGACTCAACATTACGACAATAGAGTTTCCACAAGGGTTCAATGTGTACTTCTTCAGGGAGAAAAAAATGCTTAACTACTCTTCTATACCTAGCTCAAATCTAAAAGAACAAAACAATCCTTACCTGCCATGGTGGTTATAGGGTGCAGAGGCCTTCATGTAAGTATCTGGTGGAGGCCCCACTGTAGCATTTGGTGGGGGGAAGAAGGCTGGATTGAGGTGAAGGGCAGGTGGGATGGCCCCAGGGGGAGGTACAGTCAGATGAGGAGGTAATCGAGGAGGAGGGGGCATGAGATGCTGGTAGTGGATGCCAGGAGGAGGAGGAGGGACCCCAAAGCTTGAGGAGAGAGGTGGTGGGGGTGGAATTGGGGATGGGGGCAGACCCATCAGGGGAAGGGCTGATGGAGGGCGATTGAAGTAGGGCAGCACACTGGGGGGCTTATCCACACGAGCGGATGAGGGAACAAGGTTCTCAGAGGGTGTGGCCCGTCCATCAGCAGAATCACTAGAATCTCGGGAATGGGCACGTGGAGGTATTCCTATGAATCAAAACAGAACTAATGTCACTGCCCGAGTTTACACATACCTACAGGACCAACTTAGATATCCTTCATCAAGAGTTATCTGACACCATTATCAAGAAAAGTGACTGACGTAGCTGAGAAACATGATAAAATCATCTGCCTCTTCTGTCTTCTGAGAAAGGTTAGAAGCAACTCAGTTAAAACATAAACCCAGAATGCAATCATCATTCTAAATCCCCCATGTCAAAGAACATTCTTCATCTAGAACTCACAAAATGTTTTTTTTTTTGCAATATCTCTAATTTATCTTTATATTTGTTTTCTATTTTTAAATGCAGAAAAATGCTAATAACCCATGAGAGAACGACCATTTCGCATTATGGTCACTAATGCTCAGCTGGATTCTGGCAGACTTGAAATCCCACATCTCCCAAAGTGCTAAGGGCCTTACACTAGTACAAGATAACCTTTGCTATTCTGTGCACAATGTGCTTTGCCACACCACTTTGGCCAGGGAATCTGGGAGAAGAAGGAAGGGGAGAGGGTGGTTGGCACTTCCTCTAGCTACATATAAAAACTAATTATCAAGGTGGGGAAGAGATAAGGAGTAGAAGATTAGAAGTTGAGAGGTAAAGAAACAATGGGAGATAAGCCAAGGAAAGATCAGTCCACAATGAGCAGATGGCACACAGCTGCCAGTAGGGACTCTTAGCAAAAGCTTAATATCAAACGTTCTGTGGAACTACTACATTTTAATGGCTTAAATCCTCCCTTCAGGGCAGCCTACCTAGAACCTTACTACAGCATTCTAGGATGGTGCTATGTGTCACAGGGGCTCCGAACATGTGTTTATAACTGAAAGCATGGCTTCTGACATTTCAAGTCATTTGATTAAACTCTCCCAGTCTCTCCAGTTTAACTGTGTAAGCCCAGTTAATGTGGAATTCAGCATATTCACACGGCCTTTGGAGTCTTGGAGGTTGAAAGATGCTGTTAGCAGCAAGTCAGAGGGAAAGCAATGTGCTCCTTATACTGAAACTTGTCAATCCTAACTGCTGAGGAAAGCTGAAGGTGGACTCAATTATGCTGGCAACCTCCATTCCTCTACTACAATATATTGCCACCATTAGCAACAGCACTGTCCTTGTTCTTCGCGTCTCAAGTGCATGGCAACTTGCTCCCAGGGTTTTCTCAAACTGAAGAAAGAGGTATTAGACAACTGTAATCCTTTGACAGTTCACTACCTTCCCAGCTATTTGTTCCCACACCTGCAAGAGTTCTGTTTTGTATCTATGGCTACAAGTCCCAAGAGAAGCAATCATTTTTAAGCAGAGGAAATCTACCAGCTTTACTGAGTTAACAGCCCAATTCCATCAACATAACAGAGCAGAAAAACAACACTCAGTCACCACCCTCTTTTCAGCAGAGAAAGAAACAGGAGTAAAAGCTGGGTAGAAGCAGGAAT